GCCAGCCCGGGCAGGAAAGTCCATGAGACTCTTTTTTTTTTGTTTTTTTTTGGTCAGTCGTGGGTCTGAACTCTGGGCCTGGTCGCTGTCCCTCAGCTCTTCAGCTCAAGGCTGGCGCTCTACCACTTGAGCCACAGCGCCACTTCCGGCTTTTTCTGTGTATGTGGTCCTGAGGAATTGAACCCAGGGCCTCATGCATGGGAGGCAAGCACTCTACTGCTGAGCCACCTTCCCAGCACCCCATGAGACTCTTATCTCCAGTTAACCACCAGAAAACTGGAAATGGCTCTGTGGCTCAGGTGGTAGAGCGCTAGAAGAGCACAGGGACGGTGCCCAGGCCCAGAGTTCAAGCCCAACAACCGACAAAAAAAAAAAAAAAAATCAACCAGCTGCTTAACAGGGATAATTATATCTTTTCTATTTTTAAAACTCAGTACTATTATGAAGGTAAATGCAATTTAAGACAGGATTGATTTCTATGAAGTGAATAAGACAGTAAAGTTAGGTTTGGTTATCATTCTATAAAGCATAGTAGACCCTTAGAAGTCCGTTTCCTAGTCCACAATGCAGAAACCTGTTTAATTTTTCCCATTTGGTCTGTTACCATACAAAACCTATTACTATCTTCTGGAACATGTGAGATGCAAAATGCAATATGGAAATCACTGTATCTTTTTTTTTTTTTTTTCTGTCGGTCATGGGGCTTGAACTCTGGGCCTGGGTGCTGTCTCTCAGCTCTTCAGCTCAAGGTGAGCACTCTACCACTTGAGCTACAGGGTCATTTCCGGTTTTCTGGTGGCTTATTGGAGATAGGAGTCTCACAGTCTTTCCTGCCCGGGCTGCCTTTGAACCTCGAACCTCAGATCTCAGCCTCCTGAGTAGCTAGGATTATAGGCATGAGCCACCATCAGCTGGAAAACACTATAATCTTAAGACCATTAACGCAAGCTGACCGTTGATGGCTAATGCCTGTAATTCTTGCTGCTCAGAAGGATGAGTTCTGAGGATCCCAGTTCAAAGCCAGCCTGAGTAGCAAAGTCTGTGAGATTCTTATGTTCAGCTGCCAAAAAGCCAGAAGTAGAGCTGTAGTTCAAGCGATAGAGTGTTAGCTTTAAGTGAAAAATGCAAGAACAGTGCCCAGGCTTGAGTTCAAGCTCCTGTATGGGCGTCCACAAAAAAGTAAGAAAACATTAATTCAAATATATAAGGTGCAAACATTTGAGTGATATACTAAAATTTTATATCTACAGAATTTTTGTGAGAACTGTCATTAAAGAACATATAATAACATAAAATATTGAACTAAAAAGGACCTGAGCACTAGTTTCTGAAACTATGTTCCCATCAGATGTTTTCAGATACTTGTATCTACCTACTCGGTGCCTTATCACTTTAATCTCTCCAATATATTATTATTATTTTTTTGCCAGTCATGGGGCTTGAACTCAGGGCCTGGGCACTGTCTGTGGGCTTCTTTTGCTTAAGGCTAGCATTCAACCTCTTGAGCCACGGTTCCACTTCCGGCTTTTTCTGTTTTTGTGGTACTGAGGAATTGAACCCAGAGAGAGCTTCATGCATGCTAGGCAAGCATTCTATCACTAAACCACATTTCTAGCCCTTTCCAATAGCTTTGTTAATTTCTTTTTCTTTTATGGCACTGGGGTTTGAACTTAGGGCCTCCTACTTTCTCACCTGGCATTCTACTATTTGAACAATGCCTCCAGCCCTGCTTTTTGCTTGTCATTTTGGTGATGGAGTCTTGTGGACTTTTATACCAGGTTGGCTTCAGACATTAATTCTCTGGATCTCAGTCTCCTGAGTAGCTAGGATTACAGGTGTGAGCCATCAGTGCCCCAGCAGTGATTTCTTTCTTTTTTCTTTTTTTTGGTCGGTTGTGGGGCTTGAACTCTGGGCCTGGGCGCTGTCCCTCAGCTCTTCAGCTCAAGGGTGGCACTCTACCAATTGAGCCACAGCACCACTTCCAGTTTTCTGGTGGTTTATTGGAGATAAGAGTCTCACAGACTTTCCTGCCTGGGCTAGCTTTGAACCGAGATCCTCAGATCTCAGCCTCCTGAGTAGCTAGGATTACAGGTGTGAGCCACTGGTGCCCTGCGGTGATTCCTTTTTAATTTCTCAATTTGTATAACTTACTAGGCTTCTAAAACTTCACCCCCTCTCACTTTTCAAGACTCTGAAACAATTGATCTTGGTAATGAGATAACAAATATTATCAAAATAAATATTTTGATTTGTGAATGACTCCTTTCTCAGTGACTTTCTTTGCTGACTTTCTTTTTCTAAAATTATATAGTATAAGTTTGGGGTAAAACTTCACAGCTGCTTTTATTCTTTTTGTTCCCTTAATGCTGTTTTATTTTCCTATGATAGATTCAAAAGCTTTGTGACCGAGTAGCTTCATCTACTTTATTGGATGATCGAAGAAATGCTGTGCGTGCTCTCAAATCATTATCCAAGGTCTGTAATGCTTTACAAATTACTTCAGTTTCTTAAGCTTAACGTTACTTAACTTTAATAGCCTTTTTTTCCTTTAATGTGCAGAAGTACCGCTTGGAAGTGGGAATCCAGGCTATGGAACATCTTATCCATGTTTTACAAACAGATCGGTAAGTCTCTGTTAAATGTTTTTTCTCCTCTTATTTTTCTTGAAACTTTTATTTTGTTTTAAAATTAGCATCATTATTTTAGAAGATTAAATTATTAAAGCTATTGAAATATTAATACTTTAGTAAATATTAAATTTATGGTAAACAATGTTACTGATAAATATAGTTATTAAATATTAAAGCTATTGTCATTTCAGTAAATATTTATTCAACACTAGGTATAAGCCACTGTGCATTGTGATACACATAAAAACAAAATGAAGCAAAAGCTACTAAAAGCTTAAGATTTGGGGTTTGAATTGATCAAATGGGTGTTTTGATACTCACCTACAGTGTACAATAATATAATTTAGGATGGTATGTCAGTTATCCAGACTTACTTGTGTGTGTGTGTGTGTGTGTGTGTGTGTGTTTGTGTTTGTATTGCCCGTCATAGAGCTTGAACTCAGTCTAGATGCTGTCTCTGAACTCTACTTTATTTTTATTTTACTTCAATTTTTTAATTTATTATTTTTTAATTTTTTTATTGTGAAAATACTGTATTTTATTTTATTTTATTTTTTTTTGCTCAAGTCTAGTGTTCTACCACTTGACCTGCAGCTCCACTTTCAGCATCTATGTTGTTGTTATTGGTGTTTTATTGGAGATAAGAGTCTCATGGACTTTTTTGCCTGAGCTGCCTTTGAACTGTGATCCTCAGATCTTAGCCTCCTGAGTAGCTAGGATCAAAGGCATGGGCAGCCAGCACCCAGTTCAATTCTTAGGTTTTTTTTGTTTGTTATTTGTTTGTTTTTTAATTGGCATTAAATTAGTTGTACAAGGGGGCTTCACTTTTAGCAAGTCCTTTTATGTATACAATGCTCCTCCACCATTCTCCCCCCCCTTTTCCTCCCTTTACAAACCAAATTGCCTTGTTTCACCTTCACGCAAGTATATAAAATACTTTTGTCTATACTCATACTCCTTCCTTCTCCCCTCTCCCCTCTCCTTACTAATGATACACACAAAGAAGAAATGTTTCAACTTCCTAATATTCTTCTTTGTTAAAATGCATGTTCATTGTTCAAAAGGATATCACTGTGTTTTTACACATATGTATCATACTTTAGTCAGATTGATTACATGTTTAGACACACACACATACACACGCACGATCCTGTACATTCTCATGTGTATATGGTTTATATCCAATGTCCACATATGAGAGAAAATTTTTGTCCTTCTGACCCTGGCTTATTTTACTTCTACTTTATGGTTGAATAATATTTCATTGTGTTTATATATTACATCTTCTTGATCCATTCATCAGTTGTAGGGCATCTAGACTATTTCTTGGCTATTGTGGCTAGTGCTACAGTGAACATGGATGTGTAGGTGCCTATATATTTTTTTATATTCCTTGAAATAAGAATGATAGTGCCCAATTGTACAATAGTTCCTTCTGGCCTCCCTCTTCCTCTACAGTCCTGGAGCTTAAAATCAGGGCCTGGGTGCTGTCCCTGAGCTTCTTTTGCTCAAGGCCAGCACTCTACTACTTGAGTCACAGCACCATTTCTGGCTTTTTCTGTTTATGTGATACTGAGGAATCGAACCCAGGGCTTCATGCATGCTAGGCAAAGCACTCTGCCACTAAACTACAATCCCAGCCCTGTACAATAGTTCTATATTTGGTTCCATAGTGATAACACTAAGTTTATAGGCTTACCTGCAGTATATTAGGGTTCTTTTTTTTTTTTTCCAGAGATTTTGTCTAAATCTTTCATTTTATTAGTGTGAATTGATAATTTTAAAATCTTATTGGTTGAATATGCCTTTCAAACTTTAGTTGCTCACTTCTTTTTTTTTTTTTTTTTTTGGGTCTGGTCGTGGGGCCTGAACTCTGGGCCTGGGCACTCAGCTCTCCAGCTCAAGGCTAGCGCTCTACCACTTGAGCCACAGCACCACTTCTGGCTTTTTTTCTTTTTGCTTATGTGGTGCTGAGGAATTGAACCCAGGGCCTCATGCATGCAAGGCAAACGCTCTACCACTGAGCCACCTTCCCAGTCCCAGTAAAGATGTGATCAGGACTATAGTCATCTGAAACCTTGACTGGGACTGAAGGATCTGATTGCAGGTGACTCAATGACATCGCTATTGGCAAGAGGCCTCAGGTTCTCACCATGTAACACTCTGTGGGGCTCTTTTTTTTTTTTTTGGACAGTCATGGGACTTGAACTCAGGGACTGGGTGCTGTCCCTGAGCTTTTTTACTCATGGCTAACACTACCACTTTGAACCACTCTGCCACTTCCAGATTTCTTGGGGTTAATTGGAGATAAGCATTTTAAGGACTTTCCTGCCCGAGCTAATTTTGTTTTTGTTTTTGTTTATTTTTAAGATAAAGGCTTGTTTTATTTCAGTGATTTATCTGTGTAATCAGAGGCCACTATGTACAGATAAGAGAGGGAAGCTTCATTTCTTGGTCTCTTCCTCCTTAGATAGAGTCTTGATGATCTCTTCCTTCTTGGCCTGAAGATGCTCCTCACGCTTGCGAGCTTCCTTGGTCTTAGACCTGCGAGCCTCAACCTGGTCAGCCAGGAGTTTCTTGCAGGCCTTGTCTGCCTTCAGCTTGTGGATGTGTTCCATGAGAATGTGCTTGTTTTTGATCACGTTCCCCTTAACCTTCAGGTATAGGCTGTGATACCTGTGGCAGTCAATCTTCTTAGATTCACGGTATCTCCTCAGCAGCCTTTGCAGAATCCTCATCCTCCTCATCCAGGTCACCTTCTCTGGCATGTAAGCCTTGGCTGTACCCTTTCGCTTTCCTATACCCATATGTCTACCCTTTCGGTGAGCCAAGGTGTTTTTCTGGCATCGAGCCCGGGAATGGACAGTCACAGGCTTGTGAATAATCAACCCATCTTTGATCAGCTTCTGGATCTGCTGACGAGAGTTGGCATTGGCGATTTCATTGGTCTCATTGGGGTCCAACCAGACCTTCTTTTTGCCACAACGGAGGACACTAGAGTTAAGCCTCTTATGCAGCCTGAGCATACTCATGGCTGCGGCCACAGCAGCAAAAGGAAGGCCAGGCTGATTTTGAAGTGCAATCCTCAGATCTCAGCTTCCTGAATAGCCAAGATTATAGGGGTGAGCCATTGGTGCCCAGCTTAAATTTTTTTTTTTTTTTTTGTCGGTCGTGGGGCTTGAACTCTGGGCCTGGGCGCTGTCCCTCAGCTCTTCAGTTCAAGGCGAGCGCTCTACCACTTGAGCTACAGTGCCACTTCCGGTTTTGGGGTGGTTTATTGGAGATAGGAGTCTCACGGTCTCTCCTGCCTGGGCTGGCTTTGAACCGCGATCCTCAGATCTCAGCCTCCTGAGTAGCTAGGATTACAGGCGTGAGCCACCAGCGCCCGGCCCAGCTTAAATTTTTATAAGTAAACCATACACCTCATTTGTAGCTCTAACTTTGTCTACCTTAGAGTATGTTTTTAGAAATGGAATTAATGTTTATAGTTTTACTAAATAACTGTCTAAAACCAGTTATAATAATTTGTATTCTGGCTAGCAGTGTGTAAGTGTAATAATTTCTTTTTTCCAGTTCGGATTCTGAAATAATAGGTTATTCTTTGGATACACTATATAATATAATATCTAATGACGAAGAGGAAGAAGTAGGTAAGTTTCTAGTTATTTTTCTGTTTTTTAAATGTAAGAATTAGCTGAATTGTATCAATTTTGCTGATATTAAAGACAGTGCTATTTTAATACACTTATTCACAAGTGATTTTTTTCATTTTAAGTGATTTTTTAAAAAATCAATAAAGACATAAGCCAAGTCCTTGAAAAATTTAAAAAGTCCTTGAAAATTTCAAAGAAGATTGCTTTGTTGTGATTTAGAAAATTATGAGATAGAATAAGATACTTCTTTTTTTCAAGACAGAATCTTGCTGTGTTATTTAGGCTGACCTCAAAATTCAGATTCTTTTTTTTTTTTTGATTGGTTGTGGGAGCTGAACTTTGGGACTGGGCACTATCCCTCAGCTCTTCAGCTCAAGGCTAGCACCCTACCACTTGAGCTACAGTGCCACTTGTGGCTTTTTTCTGCTTACATGGTGCTGAGGAGTCAAACCCAGGGCCTCATGCATGCAGGCAAGCACTCTATCATTGAGCCACCTTCTCAGCCCCCAAATTCAGACTCTTTTAACCAGCCCCTAAGTGCCAGGATTACAGGCATGTACCATGACATCTATATTAGGTCTTTCTTTTCTTGTTTTAAATTCATGGCCTCCCACCTGCAAGATAGGTTCTCAACCATTGACCCACAGCCCCCAGCCCAGTTTTGATTTAGTTATTTTTCAGAAGCATCATACTTTTTGTATAGGGCTTATCTTACCACAGTCCTCTTACAAATGCCTCCAGGTAGTCCTAGCTTGTTGGTTGAGATAGTCTTGCTAACTGTTTTGCTCAGGCTGCCTCAAATCACAGTCTTCCTGATTTGTGCTTCCAAGTAGCTAGGAAATACTTTAAATGGACATTTTTTTGTTCGAATTATTTGGTTTTAATTAGACAGTATGGATATTAGTCACATCTGGAGTAATTATTTTGCTTATTGATTAAAAACTGAATTACTTTATATATACCTTTTTATATTTATGTATTTATGGTATATATATATGTATACATATACACTCATACAAATCCATACAAACACACACACACACACACACACGTATATTACCTGATGACTAGTATAAAGTTAGAGTATGTTTTTCCTAATAAATACTTAGCCTTTTAAAATAAGACTTATGTAAATGTATAAAGAACAACAATTTATTAACCTTAGAAAGTTTTTAGTTCATTTCCATTAAGTCTGTTTGGTTTGAAATGGCATAAATCACTTTAAAATCCACTCATATCCTTGGTACATTCTTTTTTGCTGGTCCTGGGGCTGGCATTTTGGTAGTTAATTAGAGATTAAGAGCCTGACAGACTTTCTTGTCCAGGCTGGTTTCAAATGGTATTTATCAGATCTCAGCCTCCTGAGGTTTACAGGCCACCAGAGCCTGGCCTTTTAAATGTTATTTCCATTCTAATTCATGTATTAGCCAGCCCAGAACTCTTCCCTGAAATGTATTTCTTGTATTTATTCTGTTTACTTGATAGCTCCATTTGGAGTTTCATAAGGTCTATCAATGATAATGTGTTCAAAAGTCAGCTTTTGGTTTCATATCTCAACTTGCTTCTCCCACAGTACTTGGCATCTCAGTAAATGGCATCTCCATCTTTCCTATTGTTTAGGTCCAAACCATGGATTATTATTTGTTTTTTATTTCTCATAAAATCTCTCTAAGTAGTATTTCACCAATTCTTTTTTTTTTTTTGTCGGTCCTGGGGCTTGAACTCTGGGCCTGGGCGCTGTCCCTCAGCTCTTCATCTCTAGGCGAGCACTAGAGCTACAGCGCCACTTCCGGTTTTCCGGTGGTTTATTGGAGATAGGAGTCTCACGGTCTCTCCTGCCCGGGCTGGCTTTGAACCTTGATCCTCAGATCTCAGCCTCCTGAGTAGCTAGGATTACAGGCGTGAGCCACCAGCGCCCGGCTCGTATTTCACCAATTCTTGTTCCCTCTATTTTTATAAAAATTATGATTGCTAAGGTCTAAGTCACGTTCACTTTTTGTTTTGCCTTTTGCCTCCAGACCTTCCTGATCCCTGAAAATACTCAGCATTGCAGGCAGAGTAATTATTTTAAAACTGAAATATTTTTTGCTTACGGCTGTAGTTTTAAGGCTCAGAAAACAGTAATTCTTTTGTTGATACAGAGATGATCAAAAGAAATGTTTCTTAGAATTTCTGAAGATTACCATATCTAAGTTCATAACCAGTATTGAAAAATATTTTCTTTCTATTTTGGTCTCTTTTTTCCCTCCTTCCTATACAAATAATTTGTATTATCATCATTACTTTTGATTGCTCTGCGTTTCTTGCCATAATCTGGGTTTTATTTTTTCCATTTCTACCCTGTATTAAATTTAAAAATTTTAAAAACAATTTTGTGAAGAATAGTAAACAGTGTGTTCCACTGCCTGGACAATATATGGAAAAGCGTTCTGTTACTCAGCACAGTATTCAGTGAATTAGCTTTGTGTAGTATGAGTGAAGGAAGGGGAGCATATTGAGCAAGTTCAAAGTGATTTTTATAATGGCAGTAGACATTAAATGATCATTTGCTTTGGCAGCTGTTGCTTAGATTTTTTTTTTGTGATTCTTAATATATTAACAACATTGAAATATCAACTAGTTTAAAGCATTTTAAGCATTATAGAAAACTAAGACTGAAGAAGGGATTTTAAGATATAATTTATATACAGTATATTGTATACTTTTTGAAATGGTATAATCTGTGTAGTTGGGGAGTAAAATACAATGCTGAGGGATAGAAGTAGCCCAGTGGTAGAATTAACTAATGTAAGGCTCTGTCAAGAAAAAAAATAACATTTGGGGCAAGGAATGTGGCTTAGTGGTAGAGTGCTTCCCTAGCATGCATGCAGCCCTGTGTTTAATTCCTTGGTACCACATAAACAAAAATAAATAAAGTTAAAAAAATAATAAAAAATAAAGTTAAAAAAGAAAATAACACTATGTTCAACATAGAATATTTTTTTATATCACCTCAAATAATTTTCGTAGCTTAATACAAATTTAACCTTATATGTTTAGAAAATGTGATATTTAAGTGGCATTGAAAGTTATTTTAAGCATTTGGCTTTCAGGTCAGGCAGAATGTTTTATACTCTCATCCCTACTACTCCAGGAAAATCATTTTCTCAAACAGCTAGGGCAAAAAGCCCAATACCCTATCTGAAAGATAACCAAACCAAAAAAGGCTGGAAGCATGGCTTCAGTGGTAGAGAGCTTGCCTAGCTAGCTAAGACCCTAAGTTTAAACTCAAATACCCAAATACTGGTCTCCCAAAGAGGAATGTAGCTTTCCATCATAATTGTAATACAGATGCTAGTCATTCATATTGTTGCAGTGTTAGATTTTTTAAATTATCATTTCTTCTAATTATTAATTGAAAGGATACTTTAAAATAATATATCATTATGTTGAAGTGTTTTATTTTTTAATATTACAGAAGAAAATGCCACAAGACAGAGTGAGGATTTGGGAAGCCAGTTTACAGAAATTTTCATTAAACAGCCAGAAAATGTCACTCTCCTATTATCTTTATTGGAGGTAAATAAGGAACCTTGATATTTTTGTCATCTGAATGAGCTTTTGTTGCCTTTTTGGGTGTTACTGAGGAAGTATGTATATACCATTAAAGATACTGATGTTTATTTTGTTATACTTTCTACGTGCACGTTTCAATTGTATGACCTCTTAAAGTTATTATCTGCATATTTTATTTCTATTTTTATAAATACTGTCTTGTCTCATTACTAATACTTTAGTCAGTTTAATATATTTACATGACCACTTTTCTGTTTATTGCTATTTATGTATTTATTTATTGTCGGTCCTGGGGCTTGAACTCTGGGCCTGAGTGTGTCCCTCAGCTCTTCAGCTGAGGATAATGCTCTACCACTTGAGCCACAGCACCACTTCCGGCTTTTTCTGTTTATGTGGTGCTGAGGAATTGAACCCAGGACTTCATGCATGCGAGGCAAGCACTCTACCACTAAGCCACCTTCCCAGTCCCCTGCTTTTTTATTGCTTAAATTACTTTTCATAAGTTTGTTCAACTTCCATCTTTTCACAGTTTCCATGCCACTATTAGTTGAAAATGTTTTTGTTGAGAATGTCAATTGCAGATTTTAATACTTTAATTCTGTATTTCAGGAGTTTGATTTCCACGTTCGCTGGCCTGGTGTAAAGCTTCTGACTTCTCTTTTAAAACAATTAGGGCCTCAGGTGCAGCAAATTATTTTAGTCAGTCCCATGGGTAAGTGACTTAACTTCCTTATATAATATTGGTTAAAAATGAGGAGCATTTCCTAGAGAAAGCAACTGAAATTTGCTATAAATTTTTTAGTTTAATCAGTATTTGTATTTCT